CCCTAGAAGGTTTTTTGCCCCCCCCCCCCTAGAATCTGGAAATTTATACGGGTTTTCCAAGTCGACTCAATGTACACGGAGAAAAAAACTTCGTGAGTGGGACCCAAAGTCTAGGTCTTATGGATCTCTGAAGTTTTCGGATTGAACATTCGAACACTTAAGGTCCAGCTGCTGAGGTTTGGATCACACATCTGAAACTTCAGTTCCTACATCTGAAGTACTTCGGTTTTCACATCCGAAAAACTTCGGTTCTCACATCCGAAAAACTTCGGTTCTCACATCTGAAGTACTTCAGATGTAAGAACTGAAGTTTCAGATGTGTAATCCGAACCTCGACAGTCAGACCTAAAGTGTTCAGATGCTCAATCCGAAAACTTCAGAGATCCATATGACCTAAACTTCGGGTCCCACGCACGAGGTTTTTTTCTCCGTGTAGTTGACGGAAATAATCATGATTTTGTCTATATAGGCCATCTGGATACGTGTCAAACGATTGCGCGCCGGAACATACATTTGCAGTAGTGCAGGCGCATTTTAGCGAAAATGCGTGTTTTTCTATCACTCCGAGGCATTGTTGACACCGAGCGCATCGTCTAACTAAAACGAGCTTTTGATATGTTACCAAGGAAGCTTCAGGACACATCTGACCCTGGTTTATGGCTTTAGTCAGATGATGCGCTCATAGCTAAAACTTTTTCAAAAGTCGACTCTTAAGGGACATCCGCAAAAATCTGAGAGGAACACGCCTTTCCAACTGTATGCATGCTACGTATATTGTCGAGGGCAAAATGCGTCTAAGTAGATTTAAAACTTCAAAAATTTCCCGAGGGAGGCCCCTCAGACCCCCTCCCCTCCCCCCCCCCTTTGTGCCGGGGGTCCGGGCCTTATAACTGGCCCGAGATGGCTTGTGGCGGGCCTGGGTGGTGATAGAAATGTTTCGCATAATACAATATACAGTGTGTTTAAAAAAGACTGCATTTGATTTTATTCCACTTTTATATTTTTTATCTGTTAAACGTATTCCAAAATGTCTACCCACCTTAAAAAAGTACCTATATACTTGATTTGAAAGTTTGAAGCATACTAACTCCAAATTATAATCTAGCGTGGGGTACGTAGTTTGGGCACTTTTCCGGAGCCGGCAAGCCCTTGCGCAAGTCTGTGACGTTCTCGCCAGAGCCAGAAGTGTAAATACTTTTTACGAGCGGAGGGGTCAAGATCACGGTCGGGACGCCGCGCAGCGAGTCAGCTCCCTGCCCGGGGAACGAAAGCCCGACAGCCGGGAAGACGGCGGGATTATCCGGGAACGTGAAGGGATTCCCGGCTCAGGTGGGCATCCTTGACACACATCCACCCCGATGCCAGATGATCAGCGCCCGCGGCTGATCGGGCCTTCAGAATATTGACATTTTCCTGAGTGACGAGACGACCCTTTACGCACGTACATGGAGCAAGCCTCAGCGAGATTCGACGCCACGCGGAATTTTTCGCGGTGCTGTGATCTGGTGGCTCGAACGGAACTACCCTTAGCACCTGGATGGGCTCCTTGCATTACGAATGATAAAGGTACTCTATAGTATAGTATAGCGTCTATACATACGAATGAAATAATGGTTTGTCGAGCGCGGATGCTTCGAATAGGTATCCAATGGAGAATTTGCAAGGGTCTGAAATTTGATGAATTTCCTGTTTAAGTGGAATCCTCTGAGTGAACTGAACACGAAGATACCCTTGATTCATAAATTGAGCAATTATTAGAGGAGATATGACAAAATAACCGATTCCGCTAAAATACATGTGTTTAAATGGGAAATGCCGCCAGATGACGTCACAAGGCGGCACATTTTCTCACTTTTAAATCAATTTTTCTCCAATTTCCCATGTCAGAAAAAAATTATGAAAAATATTGCGAACTCAGCTCATTAGGCACTTTCAGATGAAGCAATAAAAAAATTGCGTGCAAATTCTCCATTATTCATATTGAATAGTTTTGAAGGAACCCTCGTTGTTTTTTTTTTTTTTTTTTTTTTTTTTTTTTTTTTTTTTTTTTTTTTAAAGAAAATACCTAAAACAAACAAAAAACATGCCTTTATCGTGCATGAAAGAGTACCTACCTACGTATAGATTTAAATAAAGAAGAAGAAAAAGTACTCTTTGCAAACACAGGTACATCCACACTTTTTTTTTTTCCCCCTATGTAAACCTAGGTGCAGGGTGGGCCTAGGGTACTGACAAGTGTTTATACCTTTGGAGCACGTACTTATGAACTTTTAGAAATGAAAGATTCCGGTTCGGACCAATGCTCACGGTGGAAAGGGACAGATTTTTTAAGGGGAGCTCATTTTTTAGTACCGCCAAGAATTCCCCTCTCCCACGCATTGGGGACGACTCAAAATTTCCACCCCCCCCCTTTTTGACACATCAATTGTAATAAGATAAAAAAGGTTATGTCCGCTCAAACTGAAGTTCAATCAAAATTTCCGTACTCGGATATTCTCGATCCAAGTTTAATCAGGACAAATTTTCAAAAATTACTAAGTTCTAGTCGAAAGATCGCAAAGGGACCGTCTACGGATTAAAGTCGTAGCTCTGCTATTGCTTACGTACCCAAATTATCGGAGGATATACTTCTCGTCATTTCGCAAGGGGGAGGGGCAAAGACATTAGGGGGCTTGGAGGAGCGTCCAGTTTTTCTTCAGTCCGGAAAGGCAGTTCGCCTTCAATTTTTTGAATATGCAGCACGGACATCCTAGGAGCACGAATAGTTGCATCTCCGCTCTGACCCAACTGTAACTCGTCCGCCGCCGAGTCACTCAAAAGCCATGATTTATTTCCAGCTTTCGTAATGAGCTCCATAGTCTTTAATATAATTAAGGAATAAAAATAACGGTAAGTCGTCTACCCGACACGAAAACAAAACGTGCCAGAGAATCTATAATGTCGCTAATTTGGGTGTGCGTTTTCTTAACTTAAGAGTCCACACCAAATAAATTTACGCACTTAGACTGCGACGGAAGAGCCGACGTCTTGCTTCCTGTTGCAATTACATGTAAAAATGACGTAAGACGATTTTCTGTCGCACTCCCAAACTTCTTTAGTGTGGACCTCAATAAATTTCTTTTTCGGGGACGAGGAAGGGGGGGGGGGGAGGTACACTTTTGCCAGTTTGTTGTGACGATATTTACCGACAGCTCACTCGAAGGTTAAACGTAAATCAAATCTCTAAAAATGTATTATGTGAAGGATAGTGAAACGTAGGTGAAAAGCGCCTGCCGGAAAAATCAGGTAGAGCACCGAAAGTTCACAGTCTCCTGTGATAAGAGTAAATTGCGTAGCAGCTGGTAGACAGCGCCACCGTCGTAGTCGCTCCGAGCATTCTGTATTCATTCTATTGATCAAATTATTTCCCTTCTCACGCCTCCCTTCTGCCTCTGCCTATCATACCTGTTATCATCATCTCGTTTTTCATTTCGGTGCCGTTTGACGTTTGTTTGAAATCTCCGCAGGCCACGCTTATTTCTTAAATCCCTCGGTTTTTGTTAAAACATAAATGATATTGCAATCGTTGCAATGGAAGGTAAGAAGTGCGGTTCCCACAATCACTATTTTACAAATCATTCACGCACGCTCTTATCATAAAAATTACCGTATCATTGTATTCACATTCGGTATGTAGTTTTTCAGTGGTGCTTGTCTCTGTTATCACTACGTACAATTCGACTGTTGTACTCTCCCTTCCTCTGATTTTCTCACTCAAGTTTTACTCATTATTTTCCGTTTAAAATTTTCAATCATCTTTCGTGGAAATTTATTGATTATAGCTGTCAAGGAACACACAATTTCTGTGACACCTGTCTATGGTCAAATTCCAGGACCTCCAATTACAAAGTTTACCCCTGACCTTGATGTCAATTGCCAGCTGTTCCTAACTGTCCAAATTCCATTGATCAATATTAAATATCCAGGAATTCAAACCTGAAGTAAATGGCAAATGCTGAAGTGAGATAAAGTTCCTCCTCATTCCCAAGGCCAACGATCACCCCTCATCGATCCAGCACCGGTCTTCGAGTTGTCGTTCATTCAAATTGCTGCAATGCCCGGTATTAAGCACTTGAGATGATCTTTTGTTTACTTAAGATTCTTTTACTTTCCCTCCTAAAACTGGTGCATTTTTCATGAAGCATTTCCAGACCAGCATTCTAATTAAATTTACAAATTGCCTGAGTTCATAGAATCTAACCTCTTTCCTTCCTTCGACATGCACTTGTGTTTCAAATTGGTGACTCTGACTGATGAGCAATGAATAGCTAAGGAACATTGTTTGTTGCATCATAGCACCGAAAGTTTATTGATAGCACAATTTTTTTCAAATGCTTTCAATAGTGGAAATGAGGAAGAAAATCAAAGTCTAGTCTGCCGACAGGATGCAATTCCATTTCCTTGCTTATAAACAAATACAAATAAATGGGTTCTCATTTGATTCCTCAGTGGATTCAACAACAAGGAGAAATTGTCTTGCTTGCATTCTGATTGAGATGAATGCACTTCTCTTTTTGACATATTTGATGGGCCCTTGATAATGATAGTTTTGGACTCATTGAACTCATTGAGAAGGAGGGGGGATTGGAACTACATAATGAGAAAGTACGGAGCTCCTCAGCATCTTGGCGGAATCCAAAATTGATTATTCTTGTATCTAAGGGGAGAAAAATGGGGTGAAGTTCGGTACTCGGGCTGCATGGAAAGTCCATGAACGGTACTCCATAGGAGTTCGGTACTCGGACTGCATGGAAAGGCTATGAAAGGTACCTTGTAGGAGTTGGTGTCGTTTTCGTTTGTATGTTTTTGGGGCGGTTAATTTGAAAAATTCATCATTTCAGGTACCTTTTAGGAGTTGGTTTCGTTTTCATTTGTATGTTTTTGGGGCGGTTAATTTGAGAAATGTTCATAATTTCGTACAGGTTGAGGAGTTTATGATTTGGGGATGTAAAACAATTAGGTTAGGTTAGGTCAGGTTAGGTTAGGTTAGGTTAGGTCAGGTTAGGTTAGGTCAGGTTAGGTAGGTTAGGTTAGGTTAGGTTAGGTAGGTTAAATAGGTTAGGTAGGTTAGGTTATGTCAGGTTAGGTTAGGTCAGGTTAGGTTAGGTTAGGTTAGGTCAGGTTAGGTTAGGTTAGGTAGGTTAGGTAGGTTAGGTTAGGTCAGGTTAGGTTAGGTCAGGTTAGGTTAGGTCAGGTTAGGTTAGGTTAGGTTAGGTCAGGTTAGGATCGTTAACTACGGCGCGTTGTTTACTATTCCCGCTTGACGCTCGGAAAATAACCGGAAACTTTTTGGCTTGCCGGAAACGGAAGTGACTTTTGATTCGTCTAGTTTTACGGTGTGTTGTTGGAATGGTCGGGTGTTGGATGGTGAGTTTCGTATACATGTTAGTTTTCTCTATGGTGTTAGTACTATTTGTGACAGATGTGCAGTCCGAGTACCGAACTCCCAGGGAGTACCTTTCATGGACTTTTCATGCAGCCCGAGTACCGAACTTTCTCCGAAAAATGTCTTTAAGCCACTTTTCATAGATAAACCAAACGAATTAGGGGAGAGCGTCCTGTCCAGTAGTACTTACTGTAATTTGTGTCAAGCGAGTTTGGATTTGCAGAGTGAGGGCAAAAAGGCATTGCAAATAATGGATTACCTAACTGTGGTGTACTGTATCACTTGAATGCTGATAAAACATGAATTCAGTATTGAAACGTCCAAGTGCTTCAGCACCTATGCTTTTTTTTGCATCCTTACCTTGATCCAATTGAAATAGCATAAATTTATTACTTTTTTTTTTCAGGTGGCAGCGATAATTTATCGGAACTGTTCACCGAACTGAGCTTAGCAGTTGACCAAAAGTCTGACAAAGTCTCTGTAATACTAGATAATTTATGCTCTAAAGTAGATAAATCTCAAATACGTAAGTACCTAGCGTTCATTTTTGTATTTTTTGTTTAACACTTTTGTCCTGTCACCCAGGTCATCAAGAATCCTCTTCAAAAATCAGATTTAAACTAATTTTCGTAAAATTTGAAGCCTTATTACAGACATCAGATATTTTTCTGGAATAATCAGAATAATTCTCTGTATACGATGATACAACCATAAGATCACCTACTTGAAAAGAATCTGTATCTGTATCCATCTAAGTACGGTATCCTGTCTGAAAAAATGCATCTGAGGTTCTCTTTTTTTTTTATTTATTTTCTTTTTTCATTTTAATTCTACAATCCACTAATCGCACGTTCAGTAATTATTTCCTAGTCCTTAGTCATTATTATACCTAACAGGATGAATAAACTTTCTACAGATATATATGGTGCAAAAATATATGCTTTTGATACTTACATATTCTATTTTCTGTAATTATTTTTTCAAAACTTTGCCAAGCAGTTAATTTATTAGATAGTTTTAGAAGAATTGAAACCCTTGAACTTTATTTTCTGCATAGTTTTTACAATTTTGTTTATTTTTTTTTCAGCCGATGAATTTGCCTCAGATTGCAGCTCTATATTCTCAGACCAGCTGCACTCTCTTCTGGGGTGGTCTTCATCGGAGACTGTCACCAAGACTGCAGATGTCATCGCATCACTCGCAAAAATTGAATCAACGCGGGTTGCGCTGACAAAACCGAAAATTGCTGCAGCCTTATTGGAGGTTCTGAAGCAAAATGCTGGCCTGTCGAGTGATCAAAATTATTTGGCCATGAAGCATGCAAGTCGAGCTCTAGGAAATTTGTGCTACGAAAACAGTGAGTCTTGCACTTTCTTTTCTCTTTTTGTAAATTGCTACAAAATTAGATGTTCGAAAGTAAAATTCTTTCATCTGTAGACTTTTTTAACTGTAACTTAGGGGAAAGGAAGGACAGAATGCTCGTCATCCCCTCTTCTACAGTAATTTTAACTACATAGTACGTACAATCGCTGGACTCGAGCTTTTTTGAAAATTAGATGGTATCTCACTCTCCTCCTTCTCCCCCCCCCCTCCAAAGAAAAGAAAACCATTTCAGCTTTAATGTATATTTGTTTTTTATCTTCTGAGGAAACTCTCCTATCTTCCTGTGCCAAGAAACTTTTGACAAAGCAATTTAAAAAAAAATGACATGAAAATATACTCTTAATCTCCTTAATTTCAACTGCCCTTTAGGATAAGAAAAAAATATGGTTTTTCAACTTTTGTAATCCAACTGCAAGGCAAACTTGTATTTAGCCATGAAAAAGAGTTTGTAAAATGATTATTTGGAAGAAAAAGAAAAAATATTTTTCAAGCTTTACTGTTCCAAAATCTGTCAAGAAGCCTAAAATTGCGGATATTTGTTAATTTAAGCAATTTTTCCCACTTTTTCTAAGATTCCATTTCCAATAATGAATTATCGCTTCTCGGTAGATACGAAGATGAAATTTGTAAAAGCGATTTTTGGTCAGACGTGTTCCCCCTCTTTCATGCGTAGGAATGAAGCATAAAACTCTGAACTTCTGCAATTTGCAATTTCTACCCCCCTTCAATTGACACCCAATCTTTTTCCAGATGAAGGGCGCAAATGTGTAATGGAGCATGATGGGCTGAAAATAATCCTACATGCAATTGAGAGCACTATCAACCTTCCAGACAAAGAGTTGTGTTATTCTTTAAGAGCATGTGTGGTTGGATTGCTGTTGAATCTGATCATGGGTCAAACAGACCTTTATCCAGAAGTGAGTATTCTAGAATGTGATCAATTTCTGTTTTTTATGATTTCCTCAAAAATTTACAAGCTATCAATTAATGAATTTAGACTTTTCAAAAATGCTTGTGACATCTCCTAAGGCATTTGCCTTTCTGAGAAGAAAAGCAATTCTCATAATTTATGTAGAATATTATGAAGCATTCATATGACACAAGTATCCACTTCTGAAACAGTATTCCTTTTTTAGGTCCTTTCCAGTCCCTCTTTTAATATTAAAGGCCTCTTGCAATTTTGTGAAATATATTGGGTCCGATAGGAGCCCTTAAATTGGCTTAAAAACTGTAAATGTTGGCTGAACTCAAGTAGAACATCCAACTGTTTTCCATGCTTTACTTCCTTCAATTTTAAGGTAACTAATTGGAATTCACATAGATCCCCAAACAAATAACAGGAGGTCACGTAGTGTTGCATTTAAATTTTGATCAAACATGGCCAACTCTTCTGATTTTCAATACTATCTTCTTCCTGCAGTCCAACTCATCTAATCTTTGATTTTATCCTCTTTTTCAGCTCATCAAATTAGGAACTGTGGAATTATTAACAAAAATTTTAGAAGCAGGTGCTGAGCAAGATGAAACTGCAGCCATACATGTTCTTATGATCCTTAGCCTGTTAGCAGAGTCTGTAAACGGTGAACCACTGCTAACCAATAGGTTGTGCTCTGTATTAGTCAAAACTTTAGGAAAATCCACATCTGGTGAACTTAGTGAACTCTGCGTAGAGTTAATTCATGGACAAGCAGAAAATAGTAAGTATCCTATTAAACATGATATTCCTTATTACAAGGTTGTAAGCCGATTAGAACTAGATTGTGATAGAGTTTTTTTATACCTGTAAACAAAATCTGATGGTTGGCCCTTTTAGTCGATGATCAAAAACATTTTGAGGAATCTTTTGGTTTCAATTTAAAGCGCCCAATGTTCAGCATTTAATTCACTAAATCTAAGATGGTCAGTTTTACTAATTCTTCCAGTCAAAATCCAGAATGTTAGGATTCCACTATGCTCTGATCCAGGTGCATTTATATTTTGTAAAAGCCATGTTACAACTTAAATTGCTTCTTTTCCACAAAAAAGACCATCAGCATTACCTAGCTTGATCTTAAAACTTGATTTTACTTCTATTTGTTGATCATTTTGCTGTCAATTTTTCCCCCTTGTTGCCTTTATGTACTCATTTGACTTTCCTACTTTGTTTTAGATGAAATTCGCTTACAACTCGCCAAGTGTGGACTTTGCGAATTGTTGATTCAACTGATGGAGGAGCATAGAGCATTAGTCAATGACGATGAAACGAGAAATCTATTGAAAATGGCTTGTGATCTCATTATCATTATTTTGAATGGAGGTAAGCACAATTCGCTCCTACTTTTACAATGCATTGGTAAAAGTATTCAATTTTAAATGGCTACTTTTTACACTTCCTCAGAAACAGTCAGAGCCAAGAATTATTGTTTTTTTTCTTAAAACCAAAGCTCATTAGAAGCTTAGAAATTAAGCTTTACAAGGATTGATTGTTTTGATTTATCTTATTTGTGTAGAACTTTTCAAAAAAGAAATCGAACTTACCCAAAAAATGTTGAAGTTGTCTCAACTTTTTGAAATCATGCTCAAATTTTGTCTAACAACTACTCACTAAACATTGCTTAATTTGACGATCACATTTTGGCGCAGCTCACATTTTGGGCGGATACAGAATGAAATACCAGCAATTCATTCTAAAAAATTTCATCTCCTCCATTCATTCTGTCCTATTTTATATTGATAGGTACATTCATGTTTTTTTTTTTTTTTTTTTTTTTTTTTTTTTTTTTTTTTTTTTCTCCTTTCTTTTTCTACAAAATAAGATGATACATTTCATAATCTGTCATGCTCAAACGTTCAAGAAATGATTTGTTGAATTTCCCCCTGCAAAGGAACTTTAAAAAATTGTAATTTTAAAATATTTGAAGAAAAAAACAGCATCCAAAGAATGATGTCTGCCGTAATGCCTGTGCTATTCTGCTATTCTCCTAAAGAGCAATACCTTAATTTTAGCCTTGATATCTCCAATCTTTGAATAACTGCTCGGCGCCTGTAATTTCTCAGTATATTGTTTTTTGGCCATTTTCAAGTTTTTCTGCATCGACATATGTTGTTATCAGAGGAGTAAATTTTCATACTTTTTTTCCTTTATATGTGTGTGTATGTGTATTTACTGCATAAAAGAATTGATGACTTCTAGGGTATTAAGATGGAACACTCAGATTTTTACTTTAATGTTTCATTTTTCAGATGATTGTATGCGTCTACTGTATGGGGATGGCAAAGGAAAAGTGTTCCTAGGTTTGACCCAATGGCTAACCTCAACTGATGATGATCTCCAAATCACTGGTGTTTTGGCAATGGGAAATTTTGCAAGAACTGGTACAATTCCTTTTCTTTTTGTCTCTCCTTCAAAACACTTACCTTAGCTGCTTGCTTTGTTGGCAGTAATAAAGGCCTAAAATGAGAGACTCCCCCCCTCCCCCCAATTCGACAAGAGTCATAAAATTAATACCATTGATGAAGTTAATTATATTTTAAACTAAGTAAACTATATAAAGGAACTTCCTAGGTTTTTTTTATGTCTCTATTTTTAGCCTTGTTTACCCATTGTTTTGTGATTTTTCTAGGTAAATTATATATTTTACCGTGCAGTTTGATACTTAGCATTTGGCAGATCGATGAGAGTAAATTACTGCAGCTAACTAGAAATTTTAAAGCTTGACTTTTCTTGTAGATACATAATCTTTACTGTCTCATAATATCAATCAAATAGTTTTTTTTATCTATCTTTTGGATCTGTGTTGCAGATAATCATTGCGCTCAAATTGTGGCAGCAGGTGTAGGAAAGAAACTCATCAGCATCCTCTCAAAGAACAACACACCCTCAGGTGACATTCGGTTGCAACATGCTTTACTCAGTGCTCTCAGGTTAGAGAAGAAAAATGCATACTTATTTTTTCATACCACATTGCAAACCGTCATTTCTCAAGATTATTCATGTTTGTTTTTTAAGCTCCAAATATAAATTTTACCTCATGTCCTCAATTTTAATTCGCAATCGGTATTTTCATTGCTAGCAAATGAATGAATAGAATAAATAATAGATGTACAACTTACTCAGTACAATAACTATAATAGTGCTTGTCAGTGTTTATGCAGGATGTATAATTTATCTGATTTTTAGTGAGCAAGTATCATAATGTGGCCTATTTTCAGGGACTTTTACCTCATATCCTCAATTTTCATTTGCAATCGGTATTTTCATTGCTAGCAAATGAATGAATATACAGTGGAGCCCGTATATAACGAACCCGCTTTTAACGAAGTTTCGGATATAACGAAGTAATTCTCATTCCCCTAGAACCTCCCTATACACTCAATAATAAAAAAGCCCGCTTTTAACGAAGTCTCGGCGGCGGCACCTCGCATATAACGAAGTAATTTGCCGCCATTTCCGCTATTGTGTTCGGTATTTTCTGCTCTCTGGGCGAGTTCCGCTCGCTTGCGGTAAAACGTGTGACAGTCGCGGAGTCACGAAGTTACGAATAAAAGAGAATGAGCGATAACGAAGTGAGCGACTGCGCAGCCCGCCGCGCATGTCTCACACCGCACTCTCTCACGGGGAGTCCGGCAGCGTGCCGATTGAATCGGCACGCTGCCGGACTCCCCCCTCCCCTCCATCGCAGACGCGTGCAAGTGTGAGAGAGTGCAGTGTGAGACATGCGCGGCGAGCTGCGCAGTGAGCGCTCACTTCGTTATCGCTCATTCTCTTTTATTCGTAACTTCGTGACTCCGCGACTGTCACATGTTTTTTGATTTACCGCAAGCGAGCGGAACTCGCCCAGAGAGCAGATTGTGTATTTTTGATCAAAATATACAAGTATTGAATCTGTATATTTGCAATTTTTTTTGTGTAATTTTTCCCGAAATTTTCCCACAGAGTCCGCTTTTAACGAAGTTCCGGATATAACGAAGTTTTTCTGGGAACCGTGAACTTCGTTATATACGGGCTCCACTGTAATAAATAATAGATGTACAACTTACTCAGTACAATAACTATAATAGTGCTTGACAGTGTTTATGTAGGATGTATAACTTATCTGATTTTTAGTGAGCAAGTATAATAATGTGGCCTATTTTCAGGGACTATAAAAATATAAACAAGATACCTCAACATTAATTTTAATTTGATCCATTTAAGAATAAGTAAAAATCACATTTTTACCATAATTAATGAGAGGTAATTAATTTTTTAATCCTATCATCAGATGCTTTTACCTTTTATAACTGTTTTCCATCAATAGGTATTTACTTTTTGAACTCTCAGCAAAAAAAGCTAAAGTTGCTTTCCACCTATGTTCTTTTTAACAGAATTAATTTAACATCCCTACCTTTAAAGATTATTGAGCCATTTCGTCCCTATGCTGACCCTGCAACAAGTGAAGAGGAGCAGCTGTTGCATCCCTGATCTGGGATGACCTTGACACACTGTGGCTTTAAGTGGGTCAGGTTCACCTCTAATAGGGTCAAATGGGAAGTAGCTCAGCATTCACCTGAGTTCCAGAGGCCAAACTTGTGGATCACAAAGTGGATTTGCCTCTCCTCCACCCCTTTCCCATCCCCCCCCCTCATTTCCTACCTTTTATCAAAATCTTCTTTTTTATATTTTGAAGTGGGTTAATCAGACTTAATATCAATGTTTAGTAGTAATTTTGTCTCCACCCTCCTTCTGTATGAAGAAATTTTTAAAGAGATGGAATCATTCGTATTCAAAATCGGCTGAATCCTCCACCCCCTACCCCACCCACCCACCTACCTAGTTTTTTTGCTTCTAAATATTACTTCATAACACCTTGCTTCAAAATTTCAAGGTGTGAAAGAAATTTCCGTCCATGCGGTAGGGTTATCAAAGGAGAAACTTTCAAATTATTTATTTTTGAGCAAAAGAGAATGTGAGGTGCAATTTGGTAAAAAAAATTTTAAAAAAAACCGAGGATGTTAGTTTGATGTATACTTTATAACTTTCCGAGTTTAGGTAATTTACCCTCCCGTACAGAGATACTTTTCTGTAATATTTATTTATTTATTTATTTTTTTTTCAATTTTTATAACCAAAGTATGTTATTAAAATTTTGATTTTTGATTTCACCCAAAATCTATTAATACCGTGCCTCCCATTTCACTCTACTCCACTTCAGTATCTTCTCACTCTCTCTGTCATACTTATGCGATTTCCCTTTAAGTATGTCCAGTTTTAAATGAGGCTGAGATCAGTTCAGTAGGTTGTATATTTGTAGTTACAGCACCAGTTCAAATCATTTTGGGATACTCAAGGGATCAATGTATGGAGGAGGTTATGAGTAGATTTTACCTTACCAGCCTCTTTAAATGTACCAAGATGGTAAACAAATAATCAATCAAAGCTCTTCTGGTTTCTTTCAGGAATTTGTCCATTCCTGCTCAAAACAAACCCAAACTCATAGCGGACGGTATCATTGACGTTGTAATGCCAATGTTGAATATCCCAACCTTTCCTGTAGTTTTCAAGCTTCTTGGAACTCTCCGCATGCTGGTTGATGGCCAAGGTAAGCTTAAAAGGTCTCAGTATACCTACCTAATCTTTAATTTTTAGGATCATTTCATACTTCAAAATTTTGCTTGATGCTTATTCAGAGTGTAGACATATTCCTCTGAGCTTATCAAATGTTGTGTTTTGTCTCATAATCAAGGACTATTGTATTTTGTCTCTTTGCAAGTGCTTTACCAAGTCTACTTGGAGATGTAAATTTTGATAGGGCCTTGTCTCCAAAGTGTAATCGGAAATTAATGCAGTTTTTTCTTTCCATGCTTTTGTACAAGCTCAAATAATATTGACCAAAACAAAAACTAGAGACTCTTGGCTTTAACGCAGTTGTATTTGCAATCAATAATCTAGCATGCAATCAACAAAAATTAAAACTCTATCGTGCAAAGGAACAAGAAATAACACTGAAAGGCAGATGCATTCTGGCAGAGCATCACCGAGGCAAGTTGCGGCACGGGAGAATACATTTTGTCAACCGAATGCTTGCAATTATTTATTTTTTCTTGTTTACCATTCTTAGAAAAATATATTTACCTAACTGTTTCTTTAGAAATAACATGATACATTTTGCTCTTACAGAGAGAGTAGCTTGTGATTTAGGCCAAAGAAAAGATTTACTCAAAAAACTAGTGGAATGGACTGGAACAGAAGATCATCCTGGTGTACAGGGCGAAGCCTGCAGACTTTTAGCCTGGTTAATAAAAAATAGCAGGTAAAATAGTTTTATATTATCTCTTCTTCCTTTTCCTCCACTGACAAAGCTTTTAAGTACCAAGCAACAAACCAAAACAACAGTAAATACATAATAAGAGGTTTGCCAAAACATAAAAGAAACCAGCAATAAAAATATTCAACTATGTGTAGAAGAAGAGAGCGAACTTTGTCCATCTCTTGGCCTATCTCTTGATTTGAACCCAATGGTTTATCATAAGTCATTATATCTACCTTTATTTACCAATGAGTATTTCTAACAAAATTAAAAAATATGAAATAGTGTGGTTTTTTGAAAACATTATTTTGGTGAATAAGAATATTACAAAATATTGCATCTTCAGCTGAAGACATAAACGTTAATATAAATCCCTCTCTGATCAGTGCAAACCAAAGACCAGTAATTTCATTCTGCTCAAGCAATTATTCACAATAATCACAAAAGAAAATTAAAATTATCTTTATTGGATCATACTTACATATTTTAAAAAATCATTGAATCATAACTATGTAGCTCTGTTCAAAAAAAGCAGAAGGTCATTAATGCATTTTAAAAACACCTTCAATTTTTTTCTGTTATCCCTTAACTGCCTTACGTCTCTCTGTAGTATTGCATAATCAGTCTTAAAGAAGCTCGAACAATGATTAATTTGCGATAATTTGACTGCTGTTTAATGGGCCTCCTCAATTTGAGCACACAATGAACATATTGTGGTTTGGTGTAAGGGAAGCAATGAAGCATGAAAGAAAACATATAAATTAAGTAAAAACTTCAAAAAGGAGAGTGGAGATGATGTAAGTAAGGACGATACAGTGTCAATCGAAAATTCCAGGTAGTTAAGTCAGAAAATAATGAATATATAAACAGAAAAACAGGTGGAAAAATATTATATTTTTATTTTATTTCTGCAGAGATCGAGAAGTGATGGGCCGAATGGTTGCTGCAGGTGCAGTTCCTTGTCTAGTCGGAATGATCACTGCAGAACACACAGTTATGCAAAATGAAGCTTTGCTGGCGCTGTGTCTGCTCAGTGCCATGCGACTAGCCGATGCCGAGAAGAGCTTCATTCAGGCACGTGTCGGTGAAAAAATTAACACTCTAGTCAATGAAATGAACCCACCGCGAGAAGTATTTATGATCGTCGTTGCCATGTTGTGTCAGTTAGTTAATTCAAGTAAGTAGCCTTTTGCATATAATCTGAGCAGAATTTTGTCAAAGATTGATTGTTAACCTTTATCTTTTCATGGTTTTCTTTCCCCTCCAAAGTATCTATTTTCTTTTCAGCTTTTACCCTGTTTTTTTATGTGTCTTTAATTGTATTATGTTGGGTTGATCAAATTTGTTAGTTGAATATACATTAACTTATATATTTAGCCAATGCAATAATGCTCTCTAATTTCCAGGTGAACTTATCCTACACCTCCGAGAAACTGGCGTGAGCAAAACCATTGGTTCCTATGCTTCATCACGAGAGAACATGAATGACACTCTGGACCAAGTTGCAAGTCTGATCGCGCTCTTCGACCCAATGTTGTAAGCTTTCATGATGAGACTCTCCTCCAATCTTAGAGACCCTCTCTCATTCCCTCATGCTCAACTGTTCCCAATCCATGCACCGATTGGGGTATTCAATTGACGTTGATCAAGCAAAGAGCTCTGAATGTCCCTCGTAGTTGCATTGACTTAACACTGATGCAGACGCAAGTACTTTTGCATGTGTGTTTATGTACAGCAATGCTACTGCCAAGTGATTCCTCTTGGGAAAGGTGCATTAGGCAGAGCTTGTTGAGGATTGATTGAAAATTTCTAGAATGTTCTATGACGAATCAAGTAGATGCATGTATAAATCTTCCCTCTCTCCAGCCTCTCTTTGAAAGAAATTTTATTGTTTTCTTTTGAACAGAAGCCTGAGCATAATTTTTCTAAATTTTTCAGTGAATAATTCAATTGAATAAGCTCTTCAATGAGAATAAAAGACACAATTAAAATGAAAACTTACGAACATATGTAAAATTGAAGAAGTAAAATTTATGAAATATTCTTAAACCAAAATCAGCAGTAGAGAATAGATTATAAGTATGTAGGTTTTTTTTCCTTCTTTTTCCCCCATTCCAGGGAAAATAAAAACTTGCATGCACGGCGATTATTGAATAATGTGATTTACATATTAAAAGGTTGAGATTGGGCTTTGTCTTGTCTTGTCTTGTCGTATTGACCTAGATTCAATAATGGGGCCACAAGATCTTTCATATTTTCACTTACAAAAAAAAAACGCATTTGTTTCCATACCTAAGCAAGAGGAGGTAACAAGAAAACTCCTTTGAGCAACTTTTCTCTTTTGAATAAATAGTGATAATAATGAAAAATAATTTGCATTTACTAAACCTCAGTTTAGATTTGTCCAATACTAAGAAAGGGATAAAAAATAGTTTTCTTAATAATTGAACGTCCTTACATCTAACAGTCAGTAAAGAACTTAGAGGTTATAAACTTCTTTTCATAAGGAAGGTTAATCTTTTTCAGAGATCATGCTTAAAATTTAAAATGAGCTGAATACTCTAATTTTGACCAGTTTTGATCGCCGTTTCTAATTTTATAAAGTTCTATTCTTTCATTTTTGCAATGCAATTGAAAAATTCATCTTTAAATTTTAAAACAAATCATATATTTAATTTTCTTTTTGAATGAAATCTTGGTGAATTCTATGGGGTTTTTTTTCAAGTTACCTTGCCTGACAGTCTTTAAATTTTAAATTTTATCAATTGTTACATTTTTTTGTTCCTCTCTTATGTATGATGTTATGATGATATTCCTATGATGATGTATTTAAATTGAGAACCTTGGGAAAGGGCACAAAGGCAAGTACTTTTATTGTGACTAAGTGACATGCATTTCAAGTCATTGATATCCACACTACAGTCTAGGATATTTTGATTTTTGTACCATGATTTGTTTTCCTTAAAAGTGGGGTTCATGCTCATTTTTGAGTGCTGGTCATTTAAAACAATGTTCCCCAAGTTTACGCGAATTAATTTCAGTTATGCTTTTACATTAATTATTTTGAATTGCATCGTTTAAGTCCTGGCTTCTTTGCAAAATAACCACTTAATATTCCTATCCTTCAAGAAATGTGTCTTTTGCTACGGAAAGTCTAAATAACGACGCAATAAACAGAAATCTATTTTTATATCATTAAATGGTGAGTAAATAATGTTCTACAAAATAAACAAAGAAGTGGAAGTGCTTAAATCAACAGAGAATTTTATTTTTGTAATTTTATTACAAAGTGAATAATCTTTACCCAGCTTTGCTGTTACGCTTTACAGAGAGTATATTTTTGCATTTTTTCCAAACAGCAATGTTTGGAGCAATTTCTTGCTTACTCCAATAGTAGAGACATATTTTCATCTTAGGTGTTCTGTCAAAACCTCCTTCTGTCCTCCTATAGTATTGAACTAATGTATTTCCTTATGTTAGTGTTGCATGCTTGTGACTATTGTATCTTGATGTGTCCTTGCTGTCAGTTATCTGAAATCTTTATTTACTTCTTCTCTGGCTCCATAAATCTGTTATGTAAACTATCTAACCTGCCAGAGGACTCGTTTATGCAGCAGGAGATTTTTATGTTTAATCTAAAAATTAAAATCTCTATCCTTCTACCTTTATTTTTGTGTTAATGTCTCTAAATTCATGCCTCAATATAAAAAGAAGTTTCCGAAAGGAAGTGTGATAGAATTTGGATGAATTACATATTTCTCTTAGTGACTTCCTTCAAGAGGGCGAGCAGATAGCAACACGAGCTGTTTCTGCTTTTTGAAGTAACAGGCCTCGAAACCTTCCACTATCTGAAAAATGGAAGATGAATGAGATGAAAGCTCTTAAAACTCATGAACTGCAGGCGTGCAGGGCCTCTTAGAATCTGGTCTTTTATGTCTAATTGTAATTATTTGGATCTAACAAATGCTCCTTCTGTGTATGTACATATTTTCCAATTACCATTCATTGTTACCACTTTATTCTCTGTATTTGGCTCTCCTCCTAATGGAAAAATGTTTTATAAAGGCTTATTTGAATAAAAGCTCGAGCATTTCAATCTTTCAATGAGCCTTCAGACAGGGTGTGAATTAAAGCACTATGTAAGATGTTTTTGCTTCAAAATTTCATGAAGAAAGAAATTACGCAATGGAAAATCTGGGATCCAACTCCTTAACAAGATATTGACATTGGTCAAATGGCAACTGTAAAAACGATGTTATTTGTATTATGTAACTACCATTTGATCTGTGTTGAAAATACTTTTCAATACTAATAAGTATTGCATTCAAAAGTTGATTTCCAAACTTTGCGTTGCGTTAATAGTTTTCTACATTAGATTTTAAAGAAAAACATTGTGAAGTTTTTTCCTGGTTTAGACCGTGTATAGTGGCTCATTCTGAAGATAGGTAGACATACTGCTAAGTCCTTTAAAATGCAGGGATAAAAATAGCACTACACAAGCACATGCTATGGCACTTTATTTAACAGCATGACAGATCAAATGTTCTCAGCGAGTGAAAAAACACACTCAAGAAAATAGATGAAGAATTGGAAATGTGTTGTTGTCATGTACCTTTAATAGTTTTAAAGGAAATAAATGAACTAGCAATCATCATTGCTATGTTTCAGGAAAGTGATAAGTCCGTGATAAAAAAATTGCTGAGTTGAGAAAATCTTTCTCTATGATTTCATAGTACATACCTTTATACTCTCTCCACGATTACCTTTAGATAAAAGGTACCTTTTATGCAACCTTTAGGATTTCGTATTTCTGAATTCACTTTTATATTTATTTTTCCATGCCATTAAACTTATGCTTGTAAGACAGTAGTGCTTCTCTTTTGAAGCTTTTATCGGTGCAAAAAACTTTTTCAATCATACTTATGCTTTAGGTTACAGGGTTAATATATGAAGTATGAATAACATTTAAGGACAGAATGGCTTTAGCTTTGTGTCTAATCTCTCGATTGTTGGAAGTGCATTTCAGTACTCTAAACGGTGTCTAACTTTGTTGGTTGTCATTTTACTAAAAAGTTCCTGCTATGAGTGGAATAATTTACTTTTCTAAAAAGTTCAATCAAAACTCTTGTACACATGGAAAACTGGCTTTTCCTACTCTCAAAGCATGCTGGTTTTTGTTGAAAAATGTTTGAAATGTCTATTTGAGGACGACCCCACAAGTTTATAATATCTGAACAGAGTTGGTTGTGGTCATCTGAGTGTCTAAAATTCTCCTAAAGTGTTCTCTCTAGCATTTAAAACTTGATTTACGTAAAATATAACTTAATTTGTCTTGTAGATATCTCTTTACGTGTCGCCTAACCTGCCATATCGTAGCTATTTTTTTCCTGGAACTATATGAAGTAACTTCTAGATGTACGATCTTATATTCCTTTTTTCAATCCTTGTCTGTCTTGTGTACTTTTAACTTTATCAACTTATCACATGTAAGCGAATCATCAAAGATTTCAGGGGATTTTCAGTCTGAGGTTCTCATTCTAAGAACTTATGGCGTTTTTTCATATCTGACTCAATATCTGACAGGGTAACTGTTATCTTTCCTACACAAAGACTGTTTTTTCGAGGAAAATAGTTTGTTTGTCACTTACCTCTTGACTAAAAAATTGACAACTTATGTATTAAACTATTGAAACTGAATCAATTTTCCCTGAATTTCTTTTACTGACCGATTTTTCTACCGTCATCAGATTTAATCAATTGATAAAATTCGCCGACTGAGCTGGGGTCATTAAATATGTGATTTCAATTTCCATCCGTTTTGCCATACTTTTATGGAGTTTTTTTCAAACAATGACGTCAAATTAAGCATACAGAACTCTATTAGGCAGGGTCTATTCTGTTGGATATTTACCATTCTGTAAATGACCTGCTCCTATTAATTACTCAAAATATTCTCCGTGAAACTTGAAATAATATTTTTCAAGAATGGAAATTTGAAAGTTGTCAAATCAGAGTTTCATTTTGTAATTTTGAAGGTTTAAGTTTACTTCTCTTGAGAGAAACCCCTCCTCTTTCAAAGATTTCATCCAGCATTTAGAACAATGTCCAGTATTGATTGAAAGAGAACACGAACACTCAAATAATAAGTTGAGTTTGGTAGACAGATGGGGTAAAATGATGAATGGAGCTTAAGTAGCTTTTAATATCTGAGGCTCTATGCTGCTGCCTCAGTCCACACGAAAAAAGATCATCCTCTTTTAGAGTGAGATGGAATAGCTACTACCTATTTTGATTCTTATAATATTTCTAGTTTCTACAGTAGACCTCTAGTCGCTCTCTAAAAAAGTATAGATGTATTTTCTGCTGAATTTATCGCAAGTTGAAAGTGCAGTCCTGCCACAGACATTGCTCTGCCCTGTCTTTTCTTTTCCACTGTGCCAGCTGTCGGTTGTGATATTGCATGCTGAGATTATTTTGCTTGTATCCTAGGTAATTTGTTTAATGTTGGTCCTGACCCACCAACTTCAGGCTGATGTATCTATATCCATCATGATTCTTCAAATCGATCTTAGAGTGTTTGTCCTCCGTAGCAGTAATTTTATCAGTATTTCTTTACACCCACAAGCAAAATCTTCATTTCCTCATTTCATCAGGAAACCCCCATTTTTAAGATAGAACAAGAGGAAATAGTTATCAAGGGGGCCAAATGAGTAGACTCTATCCCATAATCTTTTGTAATTTTAGTTTCACCTAACTTTTCAGGTTTTTCACTTCCTATATCTTATTTAATACAATTCTTGGTTGTTAACAAATAAATATTCTATCATTAAGACTTCTACAGAGGATCCTGGTCATTTTGTAACATTGTTGCCAACCTAGCAATCCCTTTTGGATAAGGTTTAATAAATATTCAAATACATTTTGTTCCAACTCTACCTTCATGAGTATTTGAAACAATAATCATACTTTGAAAACGTTTATTGTCAAAAAAGGAATCATCTGACAGTGATTTTATCCAGTTTGTTCCGTCCGCGAGGGGTCGCAAAGAGCGAGAAAGGTGATATGACCGTTCAGTCATACTTATCTGTGTCATTGAAAAAAAATGTAATTTTTCAAATAATTTTACTTTCAAATTTGGAAATCATGTCTGAAACATGGCTGACAATCTGAACATTTTTCCTGAAAATCAGTCATCCTCAGGGAAAATTTGTTTGCGACTTCGTCTTCTCTTAATTTAGAAAATCAGGGTAACTTTATAGTAGGTCTTGAGTTTGAAACTCAAGCATTTAGCACTTATGGCATCAACCAATAATTGAAGGAGGAAAAAAAAACATAATCCAAAAAAATCCATTTATCTAACCCTCACTGTTTTTAATTGAAATGTTTTAAAATTTTATGAATTATATTGATGTTTTTAAAGTGTTCTAGGTAACTTAAAATTATGTGACCAACTCCTTTGGTGCGGCGAAAATATAGACAATTATTATTTTCCTCTTCTTTTTGACAATTAATGCAGGAATCAAGATGATTGCATTGCTTTGTAGCAATTAGATTTGGGTCAGCTGATTAATGATCAGCAGTTATCTACCGCTGAAATTTGTTTTTTAACCCATCATTCGAAATTTTATAAAAGTAAGTTTGACTTCTCACTGCCAATTAAATATGGAATTTGGATCGTCGAAGATTCTGAATCAGATCCTCCTCAATGCATGAAGTGTATTCTCAAAAAATCTTTAAGGAACTTCTTTTTCAAATTCCGTATGTTGACTCGTACAGTTTTAGTTAAGTATAAATCCTATGTTGGTTGGCAACTCTGTATCTTAATGGTAATTCCTCCCTCTGTGGGTGCGTTCCTCAAAAAAATAAATAGAAAAAATGATTAATTAAAATGGAGCATATGTAAGTAGGTATTCAATGGTGCTGTGCTAGAATTTTCAAATCTAGGCTTGAAATTGCTCTCTATTTTGTACTCATGCGCTCTAGATTTTTTAAATTGTTTATTGATTAGTTCTTTAGTTTTTCCACTCTTTCCAGTCTTATGTATTTTATTTAAGTTTATTAAAGCTTTCCTGTCATTTGTAGACTGAGAAAAGGCACATGATATTTCTATTGGTACATTCTATAGTAATTTAGCCATTCCAGAATAATTTTCTCTCTACAGATTAAAATCTTTATCAGTGTATTGCTATTGATAAAAATTTGATGATGTAGCTCTCATTTACCAATGATACGGTTAGGTATCATTCTTAGTACAAACCTATCTCACTTCAATCCGGGTCATGAGCTTCTTTTTTTCTCAACCCAGCCATAGCGAAAACTGAATCAATCTAAGAAAAGGAAATTTCGCCCTTGTGTCTTATTCACTATTCAAAAAACTGTACTGATCCAGCAACAATACGATCTCTTTTGGGGTAAAGTCAAAAACATTGCTCATTTTATGAATCTCCAACAACAATTCTTGTCTTAAAGCTGCCAGTTGATGAAGTAGAATCGTGCCGAGTGAACAGCATTAGAAAGTCATGTACCCTGATCATACAAAACATGTGCCAGTACAAAAAACGAAACTTAAAAAATGTTAGACAACAGAAAACTTGCCATAAATGTTGTACTGGATGCAAGATTTTTAGCTTAGAAGCTTTACGTAAATTCAACTTGAGATCGAGTGTCCTCTGTCTTCTATCACTTCTAAATTAAATGGACATGAAGTAGGAGCTACTATTTTCCTTTTTATGAAAATAATGTGAATCAGATGAGATTCTATTGTTGGGTTGAATTGACTGCATTAGTTTATTACCACTCGTGTTTTACCTCCTCCTTCTTACCTTTGAAAACTGGGAAACCTGTAAAATTGTGTAGATTATTGATGTATAATTTTCATTATTCTCTTAAACTGAAACTCACAACTCTACATGTCTCTTAAAATTCTAATCTACCAATTCATCGTCTAGATCATAGTTAAGAAATATCATATGTAAACAATTTAAGGAATAAATTGTCAAATACATTCTTTTAAAAATCAGTCAATTAGCATATGCTATTTATTGCTACCCTGCATGCAAAAATTATCTTACTGAAATAAAAAATAGATCAGCAGCAGAATTAATTACCTAATGTTATGTACGGGATACTTGACCAAAGCAATAAACAATGCAAATCTGTCGGTATACATCGTTTACTCAAAGTTTGCCTTCAATTTCAGCACGTAGGCAACATATCCAAGAAGAAGCGCAAATAAAAAAAATAATGTCTCGTTGAAAATTGCCCACTTCACATTGCTCCATAAGCTTTGATCGAACCAACAATGGATGTTTTGAGCCTTTAACTAATATCAACCACTTCAATTTCACCGTCTATTATGCTGCATTAAGCCGAGATCATACGCTGAGTGTGGGGGCTGAATGTGGCTTGAACGTGGAGGTCCATTGGCCCGATGTCTGAATTTTGCACGTTTCGCACGAAATTCAGCGACCATCGGAAAATGTCGAATTTGTCGGAACTATTCGAATAGATTTGATACAAATCTGAATGAAAATAACTCGAATTTCCGAAATTTCAGCTGTTGAGGGATGACTGTTGACTTCCACATTCAGCTGCCGAATTCAGCAGGTGATTCCGGCATATATACGGAACAAAAATACTAGGGGGCTTAAATAATTAGGTATCTGTACATTCCAATTTACCGCTCACTTAACTTTGATTGAGCCAGCATGGAGACTCTGCGCCAATCTAATTACAGGTATCGCTCTCTCAAGATGCGCCTTCAATTTTGCCACGTAGGCAAATACCTACTGGAAAGCTCGAATAGTTATATTCGATAAACCAATTAATCTTGCCCTCCCGCCATGCGCCACTCGCCCAGTGCAAACGGCCAATTAGCGTTAAGCGCGGGAAAGTACGCGATTGGAGGAGCTCACTTTGACAAGAAGGCGGGAAAAATTCCTCGCGCAGTGCAAACGGCCAATTAGCGTTAAGCGCGGGAAAGTACGCGATTTGAAGGAACTCACTTTAACAAGAAGGCGGGAAAAATTCAAATCTTATGAAATATTTCACGCATTTTCCTAAGACTCGAGCTACGCCAATGTAAACTTGAAACAATTTATTTCAAGAGAAGTTGCAGAACTCACATCAAGAAGTGCGGGAAAATGTTCTATTTACTTTTACGGTTCCCGCGCCACTTGTCAAGTGCAAGGCCAATCAGCGTCGAGTGCGGGAAAGTATGGAATTGGTGAAGATTACGATGACCGAAAAGCGGGAAATATTTAAATTTTATGAGATATTTCGCGACTACACAAGCTTTAGGTACGAGACACGAAGCTGCGTTGATGGAAACAATGAATGACTCGTTTCAGGGGAGGTCACGCAACTCGCATCCAAAAGTATACGGAAAAACGTTGCAGTAATATTCACTGCCCGCGTGGCTTTGCCGCCGTTCGTTATGAGTGTAACGGCCAATCAGCGTTGAGCGTGGGAAAGTGCGCGATTGGTGGAGCTCTCGTTGAAGGGAGGGCGGGAAAAATTCAAATTTTTTGATATTTCAGTAATTTTTACAAAACTCAAAGCGCCGATGATAATAACAACGAAGAATTCGTTTTAGGAGACATACAGCTAGCGGAACTCAAAAACATTTAATATTTTCGGAAATGTGAGTTGGTTCCCCTCTGATGAACTCGGGTCCGTTTATAACCCCAGATCAGTTTCATGCAGTTCTCTCTGAATATTTAGTATTTCCAGCTTAAGACCCACTTTCATCTACTGCATCATATTTAGACATTAAAATACGACTCAGTGACACCCGGAAGTAGGTATACTTAAAGGAGAAAAAATTTCTGAATGAACACACTGAGATTTTAAAAATCTGCGCAACAATTCTGGAATGGTAAGATATGAACACTCCCCGGCTGTTAATGTAAAATCCCCACGACGTTAAATTAACAACCGCCCTGCTAAAAATGACGAGTGGGCTATTCAGAATTCGCCAACTCACATGAGTAGAACTTCCTACTAATTATATGAATAGAAATCCTACTCAAATGAGAAGAAATTTTACTCATATCACTAGAATATTCTACTCATAAGAGTAGAAAAGTTCAAATCATATGAATTCAATTTTTTTCATCTTTTAGAAGTGCTGCTTCTGACCAGGAGACACCGACAGCAGAGCAGTATGTAAATTTGAAAAATAAAAAAAAATTTGTTCTTGTTATTTTTTTGGTGCGGTGACTCAGGGCCGGATTAAGGGGGTGGCCACATGGGCCGCGGCCCATGGCGGCAAATCTAAGGGGCGGCAAAAATTTGCAATTTTTTTAAGTGTAGGTATAAAAAAATCGGATTTAGACAAAAAAATTACAAACGAGAAAAGGCGACAAAATCTCTCATTTACTGAGAGTATAGTAATTTCTAATTTTTTCGTCTCTTAGTGCTACAATAGACAGTACATTCAATTAGTCGAGTTAAGAGAGAAATCAAACACGCAATTTGGCCTGGAACGGCGCGACTTAGAAAAAAATTATAACGAGGACTTGAGATGAAGAGGAGAAACCCTCGGCGCGGCGATTGGCATGTAACACATATTACCGCCTACAAGACTGCACGAATACTTCTCGCATTGCATCAAACACAGTGCGGCCATTGCGGTCAGCGAGAAACGGATAGCGCCTACAAGAGTGCATGAATACTTCACGCATTGCGCCAAATACAGTGCGGTCAGCGTGAAACGCATTGCGCCTACAAGACTGCGTGAATACTTCACGCATTGCGCCCAACACAGTGCGTTCAGCAGCGGTCGCCCTGAAACGCATCGCGCCTTAAAGGCTGTCTGAATACTTCACGCTTTGCGCCAAACATGGAAGGCCTTGTCCACACAGAGAGAGGTTTACGAAACTTAACTGTCGCGTAAAGTTCCGTGAACTTTTGTTGGTAGTGTTGACAGAACTTTCCCTAAAAATGTGTTCAAAACGAATAAATACGGTCTTATGCACCCCTCCCCCGCTGGCACGCTCACTTGATGGTTTTTATCGAGTTTCAAAACGAATGAGAAGGGGGCGGCAAAATACATGCAAGCGGTCCATGGGCGGCAAGTAGGTGAATCCTGCCCTGCGGTGACTAGTTTCTGAGATAAATCGGACACGGTAGATTCAACGCTGAACTCATGTGAGTTGAAATCTCTAGTCATATGAGTTGGAATCTCTAGTCATTGAAGTTAGCGAAAACTGGATAGAGGAATTCTGCGCATATGGGTCAAATTCTACTCTCATAAGTTGAAATTCTATTCATATGACTTTGATTTTCTACTCATTTGTACTCACCATTTTTAGCAGGGCGTAACATTCTTATCAACATCCCAGAGTCAGGCCCGCCACATCCCATCTCGGGCCCTGGTACCAGTTTCAAGGCCCGGGCCCCAAGCGCGAAGGGGTGGGGTCCAAGGGGCATCCCTCGAGAAATTTCAGAATTTATACGACTAATCGGACGCATTTTGAAGCTTCCATAAAGAATTTTTCCATCAATCATTTCTGCGGAATAATTATGTTTTTTTTTCTACTTTCAGCACAAAATACTTGCGAATTGTTGCATTCAAAACATCTGGAGAATTTTTATATTTTTTTTTGTTTTGGAGGGGGGGGGGAGCATAAGATACTATTTTCAGTTCTAAGAGGGCCAGGCCCCCCTGGACTCCCCCTTTGTTGGTCTATGGCAAGGGAGTTGAGCCATGAGCCATTGAAGTCGAGGATGCCCAGACTGGAGACTCTTAGCATCTGACGACGGAAGAAAATGAAACGCAGTTACTAAAAATATCCCTT